ATCCTAAAATATCTAGTCTTGATCATTACTTCTTTGGTTTCCATTACCAGTCTTCAATCCATGGAATATAAAGATGCATCTGATATATTTAGCATCCAAGCAGGTGTGTTCTTCCAGTACATACCTGAAATATTCAGTATCAGTCAAGTGCTTTAAGTAGTCTTTTCTAATTAAGCAGGATTGTGTGAGCAGATTCTTCCCTGTAGAAAGAACCTCCTCAAAACAGCCACCTTTGCAATAGTTAGGCTGTGTAATATTGCAACACTTTTTATTTTTATGCCTTTTTATAATTCCCAGTTGCCATTCATTTAGATTCAAGTCTTGAGGATTTAATATGAATTTATATCTGGGGAGTTCTGAAGATGGTAAAGGAACACTTTTTTTTTTTTTCCTCCAGACTTGCTTTAGTTATCTTTTTTACAGAATTTTGTAACTTATTTCATTTTATACAGACATTGAGCATCAGTCTTTTATAACATCCTAAAATATTTGCTACCAGCTAGAACTTAATTCATATAAATATATGTCCTTTATGAAGTACATTTATATCATTTATTTGAAAAAAAACTCCACAAAATATCTCTTCTAATAACAACTTCTTTGTATTAAAAGAAGCAATTAAACATTTGCTCTCTATTTATCTGTAAAATCATGCTGTTTATTTATTCACATTATCCATTTGGTATTAATCAATTAATCATTCTCCATTTGGTATAAAAAACAAATGAGGTTTTATCAGAGCTAAAATTTTAGTGACATAGTCAATTTGAAATTCCCCACAGTGCATAGGTTTGCCAATCTTGATTTTTCATTTCCCATTATTAGTCATAGTTAATTTTTAGCTTCCTTGGTTAATTTCATTTTCTGAGAATATTAGCAAACCCATCCAATATGGAGGATGGATTTGTTTTCTTTATATACCAACCGTTTCCATTCTTTGATTCTATTAAGTCATCATTCACTAATCATTTGTATCATGAGCCATATACCAGGGAGACAAAGAATTTGATGCATCTTTTTAATCCTTAACCTTCTTTCTTCTGCTTCTCCCATCTTCCTTCTTCTCTTTCTTTTACTCTTCTACTTTCTTTGACTATCTTATTCTGTTCAGCCAGCTTGAACTGAAACACACTGAAAATGAACTTTCAGTTCTCTATCAATATCTAATACCTGTATATTACAGATACACAAGTATAAACAGAATAGTAACAACAAACATTTATAATCAATTATCAATGGAAATTAAGGAACTCATGACATGTTTTTGTCTGTGTCCAGTATGTAAGAGGTAGTCAATAAGTGGTTGTTGTGGTTATGTCAACCTCTTCAAATTTCCAAAACATTATGTTTACTTCTTCCTCCTTGTCTATTCTATCAAAGGAAATGAAGTTGTTAACCTGCTGTTTCCTTAATACAAAACTGCACTGATTATTTCCAAGACATTCTGTTCTGAATGGATAAAATTTTGTTTGGCAATTAACTAGGGAGTCTTTCCTGAGTCTAGTGTGAGTTGATGGTATTAATAGCTCACTGTACCACTAAGTTGGGGTTCTAAAAAACATATTTCCTAATATTTGGTATCTTCTATTTTTCACAGATTATGAAAAATAATATCTAGTGACTTTAAAATGAGATTTCTAGTTCTCATAATTCACATCAACAATTTCCCCCTATTTGAATGCCTATATGTGTTTTCAGTATTCTTCGAAGAATTTTCTTTGTATTGTAATTTGGCTTGGGGCTACTCTGCTTTTGGTGGTTTCTAGTTAACTGGTCAGACTGAACATGATCAATCGATGGCCTGTTTCACAGTTTCAGAGACCCTATTACTATTTATGAGATCAAAGGAAAAATACAAGAAAGAGCTAGTGGAGGGTTATTTTTTTTTCCTATTTCAGCCACATTTTTCTCATTTAGGTGGTGAATTTTGCTTTCAAGCTGGAAACTCTAATACTCATTATAGAAATAAATAAGCAGCAATTCATTTTTACTTCTTGAAATACAAAATGCTGCCATTTCATTTCTAAAATCTCTCTATAAAATGTGTTATGAAATTCTGAATTCCAGTGCTATTTTTTCACATCTACATTTACTTATTCTAATTAGAAATGTTTATAATACTATAAGGGATCAGAGAAATCATCTAAGTCTTTTATCTTAAAGAAATATTTTAGGCATACAAATAATTTACATAGTAGTAGTATAGTCATATGTGTTCAGGATTCACCTTGAGAAATAAAGCTCTGTAGATTCAAGAGGAGCAACCCTGGTTACCTTATCAATTCCATTAATCCAAACCCCAATCCTTCCCAGGGGCAATCTCTCCCCTGAATTTGAGGTTTATAGTTCTCATGCATGTTGATACTTTTTTGTTGCATAGGAATGTGATTGAAATTGATTGATATAATTATTCTGCATATTTTCAAACTTTATATATACATGGTATCATCCCACAAACGTCTTTCTGCAGCATTCTTCTTTTATTGTCCACATGATATTTTTGAAATTTATCTATACTAACTCAAATAGCCGTGATGCTTTCATTTTTCTCCCTGCTGCTTCTATTATTTCAACATGTGAATATTTTATGAATTCCTTGTCTACTTGTTTATCCAGAGGTATTTAGATCACTTCTATTTCTTTGCTCTTTCAAGTAATTTTTCAATGGGTATTTCTAGGACTGGGAAGACTATATTTTAGGATATGAGAATCTTCAAGTCTTTCTAAATTGCTTTCTAAAGACTTTGTACTTTTAACTGTCACATTCTCCATGGTTTCTTCACATCCTCATCAACATCTGGTATTGCTAGATTTGTAACATTTTTGCCAATTTCATGTCTATGAAATGAGATCTCAGCATTTTGCCCTGTATTTCTCTAATAACTAGGGAGAATAAGTGCCTTTCAAGTGGTTATTAGACAATAAAAATTCTCTTCTGCCAACCAATTGATCATCTCCTCAGCTCATTTTTCCTGTCCTGTCTTTTAAATAGATTTATTAGAAACCTTTAAGTACTTTGGATACTAATCTTTCTTTAGTTATATGCATTGTAAATATCTCCTCTCATTCTATAGATTGATTTTTAATATATGTTTTATTTTAATACATCAAATTTAACATTTTTCCTGTATGAATTTGGTTTTTCTGTCTTGTTTACTAAACTATTCTCTTCCCATCGACCCCAAATTATAAAGTTATAAAATTTTTCACTGTATCTTTAGGCCCTTTAAATACATATGTGTGACATGAAGTTAAAATCTACTATAACCATTTTTTTCACATGCATAGTCTGTTTTCTGAATAACTAATCTGTCTTCACTGCTCTATAATGCCACCTGTTATTTATCAAGTTTCCAATAATGCATGTATATTTCTAGGCTTTCTATTCTGTTCTTTTGGACAAATTTCTCTCTCTGAACCAAAGCTACATTGCCTTAATTACTGTCATTTTGCATTAAGCCTTAATAGTTCATATGGAAACTCCATGAACCTTGTTCTTGGGAGAATATTGATAATTTTTTACCATTTGCTATTGCAAAAACATTTTAGAATTGACTTTTCAAGTTTCATGAAAAGCTGTAGAGGGATTTTAATAATGATTACATTAGTATTATAGATTAATTTACCATTTTGAGTCCTCCATCCAGGATCATGCAGAGTTGTTGATTTCTTTTGAATTTTGATAGATAAATTAACCATAGGCCAAAAGGTGACTTCTCAAAGTCACATAGCCAATTAATAGAAAAACCAGTGGTAAAAGGAAAGTCTCATGACTCTTTAACAGTTCATACACTAAAAGGCTTAATTATTTAGTCAGTTAAGAAAGACTTTCCAGTTTTTGCAGCTACAGAACCCATCAGCATGAAAGTGAATTGAACTTTTCTATTTTACTAGGCCCTTGATAATCAAAGCGTGCTCAGAGGGCTTGTTAGAAATGCAGAAACTTGGCCTATTCTTGGTCCCACAGAATTAGTCTTAAGGGTAGGCACTGTTGGTGAAAGTGTGTAATACACTGCTTAGCAACAGAGTCCTGAAATTCATGGCATTGATTCTTTTTCTTTGAAGCCTGTCAAAAATCCTAGTGGTAATCTTGAGGTCACTGAATTCTAAAGGATTCAGTTAAGCAACAGGAAAACCTATAGAGTGGAATTTAGGTCTTGTCCTTTGACCACAAGCTCACAAAAGTCATTGGCTCCTTTTCTGAATGAACATCAAAGGCCCAAAATAAGAAAAGATCTAAAAATGTATATCCATAATCATATTCCTTAAAAAAAAAGTTAAGGATTTTTCTAAATTCAATCTATCTCAGGAAGGCTGAGGCTTTACTGATAACTTTAGTTATTAAGAAAACAAATATATTTGCTTTGAAATCACTGACCTGCCACAAAGTGTCATTTTAGCTATTAAATGCCATTGGAGAAATGTTTGAATATAGAGGAGATGGAAGCACAAGAGTCTCAATCTTTAAGCATAAAACAATGGAGAAAGGTCAGATGATTTATTCAAGCAGTCACACGCTATTCATGTAAATCTTGGTTCAGTCTTTTTTTTTTTTTTTTAACTACTACAGCGTCTAGTTATCTATGGGGGTGGGAGTAAAACGGTGAGGAGAAGGGTGAGAAAAAGAAAAAACTAAGATCCCTGCAATATCGCCTAGAGCCACTAGGGGTATCTTTGTACCATTTTTCATTCTGCACCGATTTGGAGTAGAAACCTATATTAGGGGAAAACCAGGGTCCTCGGCATTTTTTGCGAGCAGTGCACCCAGAATCCAAAAAGATTTTTTTAAAAAAGAAAGAAAGAAACCACAGTGTTTTCGGTCACCCTCACAGGGCTATGAAATCGTTCTACTGGACATCGGCTTTGGGAATTCATTTTTGAGGTCAATTTCCAATCGAGATAAATCTATTGGATTAGTAGGATTATCTGATTGCAGCTGAAAGAAGTAACGTTGGTTTGATCATTTGTATTTCTTGCCTGATGGTCGGATTTACATGGAGGTGGCTTTGGGTGCCCAGGAGTCTGGATCGTGGTTGCATTTGGAAAGAAAAAAGGATCAATCGACACGTTTTGGAAGTGTCCGTGGGTGAATAAAAAGGAGGGGGGGGGGGAGGCCCGCAAAACTGGGGTTGCGGCTGCTTAAAGAAAAAAAGAAAAAGAAGAAGAAGAAGCATCTTGAATCCTGAAACAAGAATTATCGGGTGCTCGAGATTAAAAAAAAAAAAAAGCGTCTAAAACTGGTAAATACTTTGACCATTTCGGCTTGAATTTGACGGCGAAGTGTTGTAGAAACTGTCTCCTTGAATTATTGGAAGGGGACCGGGGGAAGATGAGGGGGCTCCCTCTGTGGATTTGTCTGGCTGAGGGTAAGTTTGTGGCTCTTTTATTGGGAGGGGGCTGCCTGGGTTGGTGTGCCACGCGCGGAAGGTGATGCGGACGCGATGCCTGTGAAATGGGGCGAGCAGGGGAGATGTAAAGCCACCTCGCGCATCTCCGGGGGATCGCTAGGGAGCTACCTAGATGGAGCTTGAAAACCTTGTTTGGTGGCGTCTGTGGGGAAGCCAAGCAGTCCTCCAAGCTCTCAACTTTGCATTGAAAAATCTCTCAGTTGGGAAATGCCTCCTGGATCCGGTGCTTTCTCCCAGTGATACTTTAAGGGAGAGGAGGCGGCGATGCTTTGGAAAACCTGCCGGTGGAGAGGGGAAAACCAGAGTAGAAATCTCTGCCGCTTTGGCTACGGTTTCAGTGACTGTCGCGGCTTCCAGGGGCATTTTGCAGGGGTGGGGGTGGATTGGTCCTATTCATGATGTGTCCTTCCTCCTTTTTTTTTCTTCCTACTCCTTCTTTCCTCCCCCTCTTTACCAGACACTAAAGGGTTACAGGGTCACTGCATTGGATAGAGACAGTAGAAGTGGGTGACTGGCCACACACGTCTTGTAATTCACTTGCACGACTTTCCATAATACAGTCCGTGGTAACTTTCTTCGAGTTGGACGAGCCCTAGAGGTCTTTGCAGCCTTTCTGCCCAGGGCCCAGGCAGGCGAGTGCGCCAGGCAGCCGGCTGCATTTCTGATGCATCCCTGCCCTGCCTGCCTTGCCACTTACTGGCTTTTCTTTCCGACTGAGCGGTGCGCGCGCGTTTCTGGATATTTTCTTGCAGCTGAATTGAGGGAATTTTTTTTCTTTAATTTTTTTTTTTTCTTAATTTGAAGCTCTCAAGGAAAGCTCGTTTTTATTTGCAGAGGAAATCAATTTCAACAGCTATAATTAAAACTAATCACTCAAATGAGTGAATATTAATCGACTTAGGAAACTAAAAGTTGCTTCGAAATCTGAAAAAGCATAGTACCATCCACCAATTTTGGAGTCCACGTAGCTTCAGAACTATTGTATATAAAGAACTGATTTATTTTAGAGACATATATAGTGTATGTAGATGTGTTAAATAGGTTAATGAACCCCCTATTTTATATCCTTTGACCCTTTAGCATCATTATTATACTTGGGCTTTTTAAAAATATATTTAAGGTCAATTCTGAAAATTTTAAACCATCAGGAATTCAAATGCACTGGAATAAAATGAAGATAAATAATTGTTAAGCATAAAATTCTATACTTTGTATGTTTTAGCCTTTTGAAGAATAACATAGTGTTTTTCCAGAGGTTTCTGTTTACAGATTATGAAATGTATTCAGACACCTTTATGATTGTAGCCTCGAAGTCTCTCTATGATGAGTAAACTCATGAAAAGGCAACTCTTCAATGTCATCTGAAGCACATTCATCCTCCAGCACTTATTTCAGGAATTCCAGATATATCAGACATTCTGGCTTTCAAAGATGAATCTCACCAAACTTTCCTCCTGAAGTGTGTGTGTGTGTGTGTGTGTGTGTGTGTGTGTGTGTGTGTTTAAACCAAATTCTGAAGCAAGCACCTGGAATTTGCATTTTCAGGATGAAATAGCAAAATATAAAACTTTTGTCTCCCAGGAATTCTAAAGGGGAGAAGTTAGCTATTTCTTATTTCTGAAGACTTTGTGTAAGATTTTCTAAAGACTATAGAAATAGCAAGAAATGGTTTCTACAAGCCCAATTGTCAGTCTCAAGCAGACATCTTCCAGGCCAGCTTTGCCTCTCTTTTGCTCTGCTCTCAGTCACATGGTTCCTGTGCAGACTGAACCTAGAAGAATGGATGTTCTGTGTTTTGGTACATTCTAGACACATTCTATTCCTGATAGCATTTAACGTATTTTTTTCCAAAGATTAAGCTAATCCAAAGGCAGCTAGCAAAGAACATTAAATGATTATAGCAAATAAATAATGAAGGTGAGTGGTAGGTGAACTGGAATTTCTTTTTTTTTTTAGTCAAAAAGAATATAACTATTAATATAAAAGTTATGGAGAATTTGAAACATGAAAAAGGAGATCCTCTTAAAGTTAATTTGCATATTTTGAAAGCACTAAGTAGCATTGTTACATGTACCATAGTGTTAAAGTGGAAGACTTAACTGAACATACTTTTTAGAAGCCAGAAAATATTTTTCTATGGAAAACAATTGATGTTTCTACTCCTTCATTACATTCTGTTTTGGTGGTGCCATTGAAAGAGGGAAAGTTTGACCTACTCTTTTGTATTATCTAGTTGGAAGAATTGTATTCTCTGTTTCTACAGCAGTTATCAACCTTTAACTTGTAAATTCACTTTAGAAGGCCAATAACTGTGGGGATGTTAATTTATAGAACAACCCACCACAAAAGTTTTAACAGCTGTAGCCTGTAAATGAAGAGCAAGTTACCTAGTTAGTTAGATAAATGCTCTATTTAATAGAGGAGACCACTTAAAGAACTACTGAAAAACCTGAAGAGCTCACTTAGAAAATTAATTATATTTTGCTCTATCCTATTCCAAGGCATGTTTTTAGTTATAATTACTAAACAGGACATGGTGGCTTCAATGGGTTGTTTTAATTTTATACTTCAGAGTAACACAAAATGCGGTAGTTTGGGGTAAAAGAACAGAAGCTCCCAATTAGCCCTGCTAATTGCAAACACAGTTCCTAATATCATAGACTTATCACTATAGAAAAACTGATGTTATGTCACTGGAGCTTTACTTGACAGCTGTTCCTGTCTCTGGAAAGCCTTCCATGGGTTCTAAGTGGCCTCACGTTCAGCAACAGCTAGCCCATTCACTACAGTTTCCTTCTATGATGTTGAGACGATCAACAACATTGAATGTTATTTTTACATTAACTGATTTTTAATGAAGTTACCATGTGCTCTTAATTGAAATCAAAATGATAAGGGAAATTCTGTCTGGGGGTGGGCGGGAATTCTATTGAAAATGATTTGTTGAAATTTATATATATGGAATTCCAAAGTGCAAATCTTCCATCTCTTTGGATATATGGAGACATTAAAAATTTTTTTCAATTAATTTAAAATTTGAATTTTTGATCTTTCAAATTTGTAAAATTCAAAAAAATTAAATTAACAAATGCTAATGGTGAATCTAGGGTATCTTTTTTGTTGCTTTTTAAAGGATAATTTAAAGCATCTTGAAATAGCAAGTCTCTTCATGTTGTAGGATAGCAACATACCCAACTGTTTCCAAGAGGAATGATTCTTTTATTCTACCAAGTTTTGTTTGGTTACTTTGGTTCTATTATCAGTGAACTCATGCTGATAATGTCAAATATTGCTGTGTTTCTATAAAATGATGTACATTATCTTTGATTTCTAGTGCTTTCTTGCCCCCCCCCAAAAAAAACCAAAACAATAAAAGGAATGAACAAGCAGTTGCAACAACAGAAACCCCACATTCCCATTTAGCAGTACATCTCTGTGAAAGAGAAAGACTGCCAACTCTAAGCTTAACTGAAGTCAGAGAAAACTAGTAAATCATTCCAGGCATTTGAAATTATTAGACACTAAACTTTTGGGAGATTTTTATATGAATTCTTTTTATAACAGTCAATATAATCTCTTCTGTGCCTATTTCCGTTGCATGTAAGAGAAATTCTAGTCAATGGCAAAACGCTTTACTGCTGCCATTACTGCAGACTTTATAGATCAGAGATGTGTCAGCATGTTGGCTTTAGCAGTAATGCCTCTTTTGTGTGAAACCTATGGGCCTTGCAGGCACTCTCTCATCCTGACACTCATAAAATGTTCTAGTCCCATATTTATTATTTAATTTTCTTCCTATATATAGCAACGAAGCACTTCAATATATGAATGTGTAGCCAGAAAATGACAGGCAAGCGTGAATGGGACTAATGAGTTTTAATAATACACATATTAGGAACTGCTAAAGGAAGTTTAATTAAGAAAAACAAGTTGAGCATGAAATTCATTTTGGAACAAATGCAAGTTAAGTTAGTGCTACAGATGTAAAACGAAAAACCACAATGATATATCATAGGAAATAAAGTTCCAGTCTGAGACTAGACCTAATGTACCTTGATGCAGATGCAGTTGACATCTCAGGACGTGGCTTTAAGTTGATGAGTTTAGATTTGATTTGTGAAGTAGGAAAAAAAATGTTTCATATATATATATATATATATATATATATATATATATATATACACACACACACACACACACACACACACACATTTTTTAGAACACCTTTACTTTTCCCTGATTTGTGTAGCAATTTTTGTTAGAATTTTAATTCTGTATCCAGTCACACTTTTTGTACATAATACTAGTTCTCTTCTGACAGGACGCACAGTAACTCTTTCTGTATTCTGCTTTTAATGTGACATATTCCTACAATTAGCACTACTCACTGGAGTCCATAGCTATCTGTTTGGATGGTGATTTAATAAGAAAACTGCATATCTATTAATTTATCTGTAACTATAATTCTATTTATTTTTTCATAATTTAGAAAATAAGTACATTATTTATTTGTTTGCTTATTTATTTTGTGGTAGCAGTTTTTTGAGGAGAGAGAAGTTGTGGAGAAGATAGACTATTAGGCAAATATTTCCTTAGGAATATGGTTTTCTTACATCTTTATCTAAATAACAGATAACCTTCTAGAAATAGTGAAGAAGTTGGCCAGTGAGGTGAAGGTCTCATATGTTCCTAACAGCTGCCTTTTGGAACACATTCAACTGATATAGTGACTTATTCTTTATACAGTTGTGTTATCAGTTATGTATAACAGTAATGATTCTATTTTCCTTTTTGACCCAATCAATCCATGTTGGACTTTTAAGTGGAGGAAAGGTTAATTGCAATGTCTTACAGTGAAATGAAAATTCTTTTTGCTTTTCTTTAAAATGGTCATGGTGAAATGATTTCCTATGAAATCATTTCCTATGATCATATGAAATACTCACTATGCTTGGAAA